TATACCTTTTTAGAGAAATTTTGGAGGAATGAGGATTGTGAAATGAATGGGAAGGAGGAGTGATATACATATACTTGGAGAACTTGACAACATCACTTCGCCTCGGTAGCCGTGAGAACTTGTTCATGGATCATAAAAGCTCATTATCGAAACGAGCCCATTGGGCTTAAATAAAAAAAAAACATGACGAGGCAAAGTTGGAACATGTCTGTGTCACAGAGTCTTCGGAAGACTGCATTTAATTTAAGCTCGGTTGGCAAAATCACTTGAGTTTGGGATTGACACGGTTTTCTGATAGTCACCCGTGAGCAAGTATGACATGACTCTGATCTTACCTTTGCAGCAACTTTCACCTCGGCATCATCACACCTGATACTACCGAGCTGGGGGCTAACTGTGGGGGTCGGATCTCACCCTGGTAAGATCAAAGCTGGCAATGACCAAGTATAAAAACTGAATCAGGAACGACTGAACGAACACAGCTATTTGGTGCCTGACAATGCGACACACCCGGTGAGGCGGATTGCACAACCATGCTCGAACGACAAGCTTGGTGAGACCGGAAACATTACCAGGCGGGAATGACGAGTCTGCAATAGAGAAATGGGTTGGCATAACCCAGAAGCCCACAAGGCAGGCCTGCTAACGAGGTGAAGCCCAGAACATAATAAGGCGGGCCCAAACCCAAGGCATGTCAAGACTGGCCAGACAGGTCGGCGCGGCCTAGCATACCCTAGGGTTGACCTAGCCGACCTAGTTTACTATATATATCAATATATTTCTCTTGAAAAAAAGGAGCCACAATTCTTTACACAGAAACTCTCGTACTCTTAAGCTTTGACAGAAACAGCAATAAAAAAATCTATCTTCAATCTCTCGTTCTTGTTCTGTGATTTCGCACAAGGAAGAATCCATCCTCCTCGAACCCTAAACAAATCTAACTGTGTGATTCTACCTTCCACAGAGTCCCAAGAGGCATGAGTATTGGGACTCTAAATTTTTATGAGTTTTTAGAATTAAAAATAAACCCTCGACATTTTTGTTCTTTTACGAAAAGCCCCAAAATTAAAAATCTATTATAAACCACCTAAATTTTATCTTATTTTGGTTTAGGGGCCCTAAATCTCAGGACGAGCCGACGTGATCCAAATCTAAAGTATAGTTGAAATTCGTTAAAGAAAACAAAAAGAAATATGGACATTCTTGCATACCTCTATTCTCTTTTTGTGACTCCATGAGCATTATCTAGTGTCCGTCGGTATAGAATCAAATCGTGGTTGAGTCGTGGAAACAAAATTGTCAAATAGAACTAGTAACGACTAAATTTCGATAAATTCTTTGAAAATTAAATATATTATGATAGAAGTAAAATTTGAATAAAACATAAGTAATATTTATACTTTTTAATTATTCAGTTAAGCTTAAATTGAAACTAATGAAAATTGCGGTATAT